GTGGTTGACCTAAGTCCAGATATATCTGGTTTGAGTCAATTTGATCACTTTCCTAATATGATGGATGAGCCTCATTAAAATATTTACAATGAAAGTGACACAGCCACCACACAAAATAAGTAAACCGTCAAAAAAATTGGTTTTGTGTAAAAAAAAAAAATTATTATTATAAATTTTTTTAAAAAGCGAAAAACTAGTATATTGAATTTCACAAGGACTTGAAAAGTTATGGACCAACTAAACAATATAACCCTTTGGGACGTTAAAGATGTGTTTAATAAAGTGTATGTTTTAACTTATTATTAGATAAAGTTTTATTTTGGTCTTGGTTATCTCTTGTTAATAGGAATTCATAATTCTTAGTAAGAATGTTGTGATGAACTATACTGAAATGGAGGCAAAGGTTCGTGAGGCTACTAATAACGAACCTTGGGGTGCTAGCAGTACTTTGATGCAAGAAATTGCTCAAGGTACCTATAACTAGTAAGTGACGATGACTCGATCTTTGTATCTTGTCTTTTTTTTTATAAACGAAATAAAAATTAACATTATATATCTTATTTTGAATTCAAGTACATATTTTAATGAGATCATGCCAACAATTTATAAGCGGTTTACGGAAAAGGAAGCGAGACAATGGAGACAAATTTATAAGGTAGCCGTCATTAAAAAAATTGATGTTGCTTTCGGGTCAGTAATAGTAATAAAATTGGGTTTACGTTTTATTGATAGGCTCTTCAATTGCTTGAATATCTTGTGAAACATGGATCTGAAAGGGTTGTTGATGATGCTCGAGCACATATGGCAACTGTTAAAATGATGAGAAATTTTTGTTTTGTCGACGAAAAGGGAAAAGATCATGGAGTAAACGGTTAGAACCTTTATTATTATTTGATGTTTTAAGAAAGATTCTTTTAACAAATTTATTTTTTATGTATAGTTCGTAATCGGGCAAGAGAACTTGCTGAACTCTTAGGTGATATTGAAAAAATTAGGCAAGAACGAAAGAAAGCAAAAGCTAATAGGACTAAATTTACTGGTGTTAGTTCGGATACAATTGGTTATGGAGGTTTCAGTGGATCATCTGGATCATCTCAATATGGTGGATTTGGTAATGATTCATACGGTTATTGTGAGTATCATTTTATTCTAGAACTAAATTTTTTTTCCGCCTCCAAAACAATGTTAAAAATAAAAATAAAAATAAACTGAAAACATCTGCTTTATTTAGCCGAGTCCCGTTCCAGATATGACGATATAGATACACAATGGCAAAGTGATTATCGGACTGGAAGGACTTCATCAGACGATAGAAGATCAAGTCTAACTAATAATCGATCAAGCATATCTTCAATTAAAAAGACTTCTGAATCATCCACCTCACATTCTAATGGCACAACTGCAACAACACAGAAAGAAGTAAATCTATTTGATTTTGATGATCCTCCCGTTACTTCAACCACCTCCAATCAAGCCGCTTCTAATGATTTTGGTACGAAATTAAATTATAATTTTGTTTGATTTTCAAATACCGTTATTGATATTAATCATCACAAAATTTTTCCTTCTTCCAGATGATGATTTCCAAGATTTTCAAAGTGCACCACCGCTTATGCCATCCTCTCAAAGATCATCGATTTCTTTACAATCCGGTTCCCAATTTAATTCAATTTCACCAATTCAACCAAATACAAATGTTAAGCCAATTCAACCCATTTCAAATGTACAATCACTCAATGCAGGAATAAACAATAATTTGCTTGATGATTTACTTGGTCCCGTATCTACAACGCAATCTACAAATTTATCGATTAACACGCCAAAACCTTCATCTACACCTTTAAATACTTCACAACCTATTAGCGTTATTAACGCGTCAAAACCTATTTCACCAACCACACCAAAACAGGTAAGTCATATATTATCAAAGAAACATTTTTATAAAATACAGAAATTTCTAATATTTGATATTTAAATTTACAGAATGTCAACAACCAAAATATTGCCTTCTCCAAGTTAAAATCTAATGATATTTGGGCCCAAGCGTCCAATCTTGTATCTTTGGATTCATTGGGGAAAGAACCTGCATCTAGTACAAAACAAACTGTTAAACCATCAATGAATTCTCTTGCACAAGCTGATTCTACAACTTGGGTAGCTAGAGGAACTTGGGTTGCACAACCAGCACAACAATCTGTTCAACAAAACAATCAACTTAATTCTCAACAAAAACAAGATCCTTTTGATATGTTATTGTGATGATTTTTTTATTTTTTAACATAATAAGAAAAAAAAAAAAGTGTTTGCACAATTGAGAGAGGAAATAGGTTATTTATATTAGACGACTTAAATTAAAGAGAAAATAATAATTTACTTAATATTTCAAAAATATATTATAACAAAATTAATTTTGTTATAGTTTCTTTTACGGAAGATTTCGTTTTTAGACGCTTGATTAATTTTTTTAATGAAGATTTTTTGATAATAAAATGGTCCATTAAAATAATGGTGACGGCTTGTTATGATGAAGTAATAGTAAGTCAAAAAAATGATAAATCGATGATGCAATATCCTGACTCCGCTTCTAAAAATAGATTTTATTTCATAAGTATCTACTTAGTTTTTTTTTTGTCACATACTATTTTTTACACGTGTTGACTGTCGTTGTGTGGGAATAATCTTTACAAATAAACTTTTTTCGTAAGTCTACTCGAAAGTATATGACAAAAAAAGTCTGAAAGTATCAAGTATCGAGTGATATAAATATGGTTCTTTTCTTATTTTTTTTTATTTCTCCAGAACTTTCTTATTGTGACTGTTTTGAGTATTAAGTTCTTTCTTGATTGTTGCGATTTAATATGTGTAAGTATAAAACGATTGAAGTGTAGGTATGATGGTCTAAAGATTCTGGAGGTGGAGCCTTTTATGTGCCTTCCTTTGTCATAGAAAGCAATTCGTGCTCTACGCTACGGTACATTTTTCACCTCTACCTCTATCTCTACCTCTACACTACGCAACATTACGCTACATTTTTAATTCTACTTCTACTCTATGTTACGCAACATTTTTACCTCTAACTTTACGCTATGCTACGTTACGCTACGTTTTGTAACTCTACCTCTATTTATTTTTTCAACGTTATGCCTCTACACTTTCACAATCTAATTTGTTTCTTACTATGCGTTTGTATTTTTACATACGCTTACACTTTCATTTGCTTTTCAGCTCAGAAACGAAAGCTATGTTGCCCTCCCAAACAATCGGTCTTTATCGGGGGGGACTAACAAAAAACAATTTCCGAAGGCAGTGTTGTCATGGGACATTGATGGGACACTGATGGGACATAGATGGGACAGATAGCTGGGACAGCAAATCTCTGGGACATCAAAAATGGACATCACTGTCCGAAAGTACCTTCTCTATAATGAAAACGGGCCACGTAAAGCGGAGTTGTTTTGGCCGGAATTATGGCATTAAGAAATTAATCATGTGACGAATAAGGGCCTGACAAATAGGATTTTGCCACCGAAAAAAATTTCAAAAGTGGAGGGATGTGATACAGGCGACAAATAAATTTGCATTGATCACGTGATTAACTCCGCTTTTGAACATTTCCTAAAAAAACGGCAAAAAAAGAGTAAGCATTTTTTCATTGGCCGGAGTTCCTTAACATCACACTAATGATTCGGACATTTGATTTATGTTTATTTAATTTTTTTTCTTTGTCCATTTAGAAAGTGAGTGCAATGCGGGAATTTTTTACAAAAAAGTTCAAGGACAAGGCTTTGTTACCAATGATATTAGGGTGAACTTTTTACCATCCAAACCCGAAACTTCAACCGTATATAAAATTCTGAATGAGCACTCTAGTGCAGTGATGTGTATTTATGCTTCCAATAGTATAAAATTTGATTGGAAGCTTCCAATCCAAATGAATTTATTAGAGGATTATGCTTCCAAAGGTACTTCCAAGAGTGCTTCCAATCTTCCAGGTGCACATCACTGCTCTAGTGAACTTGGAATTTCAACTACTGAACCTTCCACTTCCACAACTGAAAATTTTAATAAGTGGGAGTGATGATGGCTTTTTTACGAAAATTAATGAGGAAGAGTTCACCGGACGCACCTTTTTGAAGTTAACCAAAAAAGACCTTAGAGAATGTGGATTAAAATTTGGACCTTCGTTAGAACGCAAAAGTATCGAACTTGACCTGTATCTTGACCTTATTGCTGATCTCATTGTAAAAACAATTGTTATTTATATAGTAATCGGCAAGAAGGTCAACTTTAATACGAGGAGGGTTAAGTTCGATACTTTTGCCGTTAGAACTTGAAGATTAGGGAACTAGTTGATAAGAAAGGCAGTATAATTAATTAAAGCGACCATTTTTTGTGAAATTAAAAATTTGGGAAGCGATGTATAATGTAACAGAACTTTTGTATAAATCAATGAAATACAAATAAAAATAAAATGCTTAACTGTTGTGATATTGCAAATTGAGGTAATTCTTAAACCTAATAATCTTATTTACTGCGCGCAGTGCTACTGCGGGTCGTGTCGGTCCGTGCGTAAATTGACCGATTAAACTATGATTGGTAAATCATTAATTTATATATAGATTATCAAAAAAAAAATAAAATAAAATGAATAAATTCTGTTTAACAAAATACATTAACAATGCTGGGTAAAAAAACTGTTACTTTTGCTGACGATGTAAGATCCGATACTTCTGAAGAAGCGTTTGAAAAATTAAAGAAGCCTTATTATGCTAATAAAAAATTAACTGATCCTGTCAAAGAGGTAGAAGTAAGTATTCTTATTTACATTCAAAAAACTAAATGTTGACATTACGCTATAATTACTTGTATTTAGGATAAATGGCAACTTTTACCTGCTTTCCTCAAAGTTAAAGGATTGGTTAAACAACACATTGATTCTTATAATTATTTTGTTGAAACTGAATTAAGAAAGATTGTCCGAACCAATGAAATGATTACCTCAGATGTAGACCCTTCATTTTGGTTAAAGTATATCTATGTATTTGATTTCTTCAGCTTTACATTTAATGTTGAATTAACATTTAGTATCTTAATTTTATGATCACAGATACCTTGATATTAGGGTTGGACCACCAGATAGACCTGACACGGATCATGAAGCACATATTAATGTGTTTACTCCTCATGAATGTAGATTAAGAGATTTAACGTATTCCGGTAACATTTATGTTGATATAGAATATGTTCGTGGAAAAAAAAGAGTTGTACGTAAGAATACTATTATCGGTAAAATGCCAATTATGCTTAGGAGTTCCAAGTGTGCATTAACTGGAAAATCGGAAGCTGAACTGGCAAAGATGTTTGAATGTCCTTTGGATCCAGGTTCGTTAAGATATTAGGAAAATTTTTGAAAGTTTTTCAATACATTGACGTTCATTGTAAATTATTTTTTAGGTGGTTATTTCATTATAAAGGGTACGGAGAAAGTAATTCTTATACAAGAACAACTTTCGAAAAATCGTATCATTGTTGAAGGTGATAAAAAAGGCCTTGTGCAGGCTTACGTTACAAGGTACTTGATTTATGTATGATGTTTAAATATTGTGTTAAATCATACTAATGTTTCGATGATTTCATAGTTCGACTCACGAAAGAAAGAGCAAGACGTATATAGTAGCAAAGAATGACGCAAAAAATGACAAAATAACTTTAAAGCATAATTCTATATCAGAAGAGATCCCTATTGTAATTGTGATGAAGGTGAAGGATATTTACATATTTACATCCTTTAAATCTCTTGATTTCATCATAAATTTGTTTATTGTTTTAGGCGATGGGAATTCAATCAGATAAAGAAATATCACAGCTTATTTCGGGAGGAAATCGGACATTTTTAAATATGTTTTCGCCGAATATAGAACAATGTGCAAAAATGAAAATATTTACACAGAAACAAGCGTTAGATTATATTGGAAGCAAAGTTAAAGTAACAAGAAAAATAGCAAATGTCAGAAGACCTATGGCAGAAGAAGCGTTGGAGGTGTTATCGACTGTAGTGCTCGCTCATGTGCCAGTTAAAGATTTAAATTTTCAACCGAAATGTATTTATATAGCCATCATGATTCGACGAGTTTTAATGGCCTTGGCAAATGAAAATTTGGTCGATGATCGAGATTATGTTGGAAACAAAAGATTAGAATTGTAAGTGATTTTTAGATGTTTTAATTTGAATCAATGGATCGATTTCAAAATTGTAATACGTTATTCATGTTATGATTTAGAGCTGGATCTCTGTTATCTTTATTATTTGAGGATTTATTCAAGAAGTTCAATTTTGATTTAAAGATGAACATTGATAAACTATTGAAAAAGCCAAACAGAGCCACGGAATTTGATGCTCATAAACAACTCATGCAACATGGTGATAGTATTACAAATGGATTTGTAAGAGCTATAGCTACAGGGAACTGGACATTAAAACGTTTTAAGATGGAAAGAGCTGGAATAACTCACGTGCTTAGTAGATTGAGTTATATTTCGGCGTTGGGAACAATGACTAGAATAACTTCACAATATGAAAAAACAAGGAAAGTTAGTGGACCCAGAGCACTTCAGGTGAGATTTGTTTAATTTTGAAGGGAATTGATTAACGGAGAGCAAATAGAAAGCAGTCTGTGCTTGTTTAAAATTTTCTTTCGGATCGGAAATAACGATCAAATTATATTTGGGATGTAGCCGTCACAATGGGGCATGTTATGTCCCGCAGATACCCCTGAAGGGGAAGCCTGCGGTTTAGTTAAAAACCTTGCTTTGATGACTCACATAACTACCGACGACGAAGAACAACCATTGAGACGATTAGCTTTTAATCTCGGTATTGAAGGTATATCAACAAAACTTTTAAGATTGTCCATTAAAACTTGAAATATTCATTTCCTTGGATATTTATTTCAGACGTTAATAGTTTGACAGGTGCCGAGCTATATCGTAATAACGCGTATATGGTCTTCTTGAATGGTCTTATGCTCGGAATTACGTGTCAGCCGAATAGCTTCGTTCAAGATTTTAGACGATTGCGTCGATGTGGTAGAATTTCAGAGTTTGTTAGCATTTATGTGAATCATCATCACAATGCCGTTCATATTGCTTCGGATGGTGGGCGAGTATGTCGTCCTTTAATCATTGTAGAAAATATGATACCTAAAGTTAACACGAAACATATTCAGGTATTTATTTGCTCGTGTTTACCTTTAAAAAGTATACAATTAATTTTACTACGCTTTTTGTATATAGAAATTAAAAAGAGACGAAATGGCGTTTGCGGATTTTTTAGCACAAGGCCTTGTTGAATATTTAGACGTGAACGAGGAAAATGATTCAAATATCGCCATCTATGAACGTGAGATAATTGCTGAGACCACGCATCTGGAAATTGAACCTTTTACAATTTTAGGTGCTGTAGCAGGATTAATTCCTTATCCACATCATAACCAAAGTCCTAGAAATACTTATCAATGTGCTATGGGTAAACAAGCAATTGGCGCCATAGCTTATAATCAATTAAGAAGAATCGATACATTATTATATCTTATGGTTTACCCACAACAACCTATGGTTAAAACTAAAACTATCGAATTGGTAGGATATGATAAATTACCGGCAGGACAAAATGCTATAGTCGCAGTGATGAGTTATTCTGGTTATGATATAGAAGATGCCCTTGTACTAAATAAAGCATCGGTTGATCGTGGTTTTGGACGTTGTCAAGTCATGAGAAAACACGTTGCTCTGATGAAAAGGTACGCAAATGGATCTTTTGACCGTATCGTAGATCCTCCTGCACAGGTTGATTGCCCTACGGGGCCTTCGGCTGAGAGATTTAATATATTGGATTCCGATGGTATAGCGGGAGTCGGTGAAAGAGTGATGCCAGGACAGGTTATTGTGAATAGACACACACCAACAAATTTATCGGCGAATATACCAGTTAATATGCCAATAATGAACGCACCAGTTATACAATTTACTTGGAAACATTCTCCGTTAACATATAAAGCCCCAGAACCTGGATATATTGATAAAGTGTGTGTAACTACGACAGAACAAGAGCAAACTCTTATTAAAATTTTAATAAGACAAACACGGGTACCAGAATTGGGGGATAAATTTTCTTCACGTCATGGACAAAAAGGTGTATGTGGCATCATAGTACCCCAAGAGGATATGCCATTTTCTGATTCTGGTATATGTCCTGATATTATTATGAATCCTCATGGGTTTCCTTCGCGTATGACTGTGGGTAAAATGATTGAATTATTGGCTGGTAAAGCTGGCGTATTAAAAGGTGAATTACAATACGGAACTGCATTTGGTGGTAGTAAAGTCGAGGATATGAGCAAAATTTTAATCGAAAATGGTTATAGTTATTCGGGAAAAGATTATGTGACCTCCGGTAGGTTGTTGGACTTTTTTAATTTTGATACCTTTGGAAATTATGGATACTCATTCATTTCCTTTCTGTATGTATATAGGGATCACGGGAGAACCATTATCAGCGTATATATTTTTTGGACCAGTATATTATCAAAAATTAAAACATATGGTAGTGGATAAAATGCATGCAAGAGCGAGAGGACCAAGAGCAGTATTAACAAGACAACCAACAGAGGGTAGATCAAGGGACGGAGGATTACGTCTTGGTGAAATGGAAAGAGATTGTTTAGTTGGATATGGGGCAAGCATGTTGTTAATGGAGAGATTAATGATATCATCGGATCAATTTGATGTACATGTTTGTGAACAATGTGGGTTATTGGGTTACAAAGGTTGGTGTCAAAATTGCAAATCAAGTAAATTTATGGTCACTATGCAAATGCCTTATGCTGCTAAATTGCTTTTTCAAGAATTACAAAGTATGAACATTGCTCCTAGATTAATTTTGGAAGAATTTTAGTAACCATCTGTTGCATTATATAAAACTTCAAAAAAAAATTTTTTGTATAAAGTAATAAAATAGTTAATTTAGGTAAAAATTTATCGCAAAAATAATTTTAATCACTTAAACGAATCACTTGAAATTAAATTTAAGTATTATTAATACTTTATTATATTTTATTTTATTATATTTTAATTTTAGTAAATTAATATAAAAATATAAAATTTATATAATATTATTTAAAAATTATATTTATATCATATAAATTATATAATTATAAAATATAAAATAACAAATGTTTTTATTTAAAAATCAAAATTATATTTAAATAATAATTATGAAATCTAATTTATAATCAATTAATTAAATTAATTAATATTTCTTTACTTTTATTTAATCAATTTTTGAATTAAATCTATTTTTAATAAGAATTGAATATTTTGAAACCTAACAAAATTTCCAAATAATATTAACTAGTTTTAAACTTTCAATTTATTTTAACGTAATATTAATTTCTATCATTTTTAATATATTCAAATAATTTTCTTGCTTAAATCACAAAACTATTTAATTCATCTGGAGATAATGTATTCTAGAAAAAAATAATTAACTTTAAATATTAACGAGAAATATTGCTGATAAAAAAAAAAGCTTTTAATAATATTAATAATAATAATAATAGTACAAGTTATATTAATAAAAGCTTTATCTTAAACTAATAGACATCTTAATGGAAGTTCGAAGATGATGAACCTGTAGTTTGATGATTTTTTGGCATTTTCTTTTTTGAATCCAATTTTTCTAATTCAGCTTTTGTATAACAAGCGGGTGCGGCTTCTGTTAGCCATTGAGGTTGTATTTCCATAACTTGTCTCATATAATCTTTCTGAGTAGCAACTAATTCATAATAGAGCACCCATTTTGGTGGTGTTTGAAATAAAGAACTACTTGGATGAATATGTATTCTTCTTCCGGCTTCCCCAAATTTAATCTTTTGATAAGAATCACCAAATGGTAATAGTCTAGCTGTATTCATAAAAAATCCTGCAACAAAAGATTTTTGTATTGGTTCTATATCAGCAGGATTTGGATTTGATTCCAATTTGACCTCAGTACGTTCGCACAATCCAACAAGTTGGTCTCTAACATCTCGTGCTCGTGTCATTGAACGATATACAATGAAATTCTCGTGACACCAGCTTAATGAATAATTTGTATCTACCCATTGTTCCCATACATTCAATAACGTTAAATGATCTCCACCCGATTTAGTAAAGTTTTGACGCGCTTTATCGGCATGAAATTTTTTATCTTTTGGTCGATAAAAAACTGAACTTTGAACGTTAAGCATGCTGATAATTGATATAACCTCTTCAGAACAATGATATTTTTCGGAAGTTATTATAGTTTTGGACAACACAGGATCTAAAGGGTATTCAGCCATACGCCTTCCGAGTTTAGTTAATTCTCCTTCATTATTTAAAGCGCCAAGATCAGATAGATCCTTAAGGGCTGAAATAAGCGCTTGTTCATGAGGAGGATCCATAAATTCGAAACTCATCACATCACGAATACCAATACTTTTTAACAATAACACAACATGACCCAAGTTAGTTCTTTTGATCTCAGGCACATTATTTTCTTCCATTTCATTAGCGTATGCATGTTTTGTGTATAATCTAAAACAATGTCCCGGTCCAACACGACCAGCCCTTCCTGCACGTTGTGTTGCTGAAGCTCTTGAGCAAGTAACAACTTCTAACGATTCCATACGTGTTTTTGCGCTATAAAAGTTTTGTTTAACAAATCCTGGATCAATAACAAAAGAGACACCGTCAATAGTAATAGATGTCTCTGCAATATTTGTGGCTAATATCACCTTTCGAGCACCAGGTGGCGTTGGTTCAAATATCTTTCCTTGCATGTCGGGAGGAAGGTTAGCATAAATTGGACATATTATAAGCTCCCTTATTTTGCTACCTAAGGCCCTACAAGCTTGTTGTAAACTTTCTTGTACAGTTTCGATTTCTTCTTGACCTGTTAAGAAGACTAAAATGTCACCTTTCTGTTGAGTAATATGTAGTTGCATCACAGTTGTAACAGCAGCACCAATATAGTTTGCTTCAGGGGCTTTTGTATAGCAAACCTGGACTGGGTAAGGCTTTCCTGGGATAGAAAAGATCGGAGCTCCATCAAAATAATCCGCGAATTTTTGAGCATCTAGTGTAGCACTTGAAATTAAAAGTTTTAGATCAGGTCTGCTACGAGCAATATCCTTAACCAATCCAAAGAGAACATCAGTATGTAAAGTTCTCTCGTGAGCCTCATCTATAATAAGACAATTATAACCGTCTAATAAAGGTTCAGTCAAGAATTCACGAAGTAACATACCATCAGTCATGTATTTAATTATAGTCTTGTCTGATGTGCAATCCTCAAATCGGATTGAATAACCAACCTCGTATCCAAGTTTAACACCCATTTCCTCAGCTACACGAGCAGCCACACTCATAGCAGCAACTCTTCTAGGTTGAGTGCAACCAACTTTTTTATCGCCCTTGGTATAACCAGCTTCATATAAATATTGTGGTAGCTGAGTGGTTTTACCGGAACCTGTCTCTCCTACGATAACCAGAACTTGATATTCTTCTATGGCACTAAGTAAATCATCACGAAAAGCGTAAATCGGCAAAGATTTACGGGTTTCTTCAATAGTTTTTGCTTTCTTTTCGGCCTCGTCAATTTTGGCTATTATTTCATCATCTTCATTATTGGTTTTCCAATCCCAATTTAAAAATTCTATGGACTGATCGTCAAAAACGTAATCATATTGATCTTCTTGTTTTAATCTATCCTGCGCTCCAACTTTTAATTGTGATTTTACGATCTGATTTTGTTCCCATTGGTCTTGATCTGTGACAAACTTGTTCTGGTCACGATCCTCTTCATAACGTTGATACAGAACTGTCTCCTTTTTTTTCTTGTCTATTTTTCCTTTTTCCGTAATATAATCTTCGGGCATAGCATAATCATCAGTCTTTCCAGAAAGACTCAATCTTTCTTTTGTTAACCTGAGGGTTTCTTTTTTTAATTCAAGCTCTCTTATCTCTTTTTTGGTTAGTTTTTCACCTTTGAATAACATATCTTCATCAAGGATTCCTAATTCTAACATTTTCATTTGTTTATCAGTACGATCTCTTAAGTATTCTTGACGAGAACGCTCACGAATGTCTGGTAGAACCTTCCTACGAGCATCCGCATCATCGGCAAGATTACGTCTTTTAGCAGCATCACTTTCTGCCTTATAAGATCTGTCTTCAACAAGTTTTTTGGTTTTTTCTTTATCTTTTTGTCTCAATCGTTTAGCGAATTCATCCCTTTCTTTTAAATCTTTAATTTTTTCTTTTTCTTCTTTTTCATATTCATCCTCAGATTCAGAATATTTTGATCTTTTCTTTGACGACGAACTTTTAGATATCTTATCATCCGAATCACTTTCCCATGCATTAGATTTTTCTTTTTTACGTAAACTTTTGTCTTTTTTAGATTTTTTCGATTTCTTTGAAGATGGTTCTTCAAAACTAAAGTCATCGAGAATCAACTTGTATGATTTTGATTTAGCTAAAGTTTCTTTAGCTTCCTTTTCTTCCCTTTTTCTTTTTAAATAAGCCTCATCCTTTTGAGACTTTTTTCTTGGTACTCGATCAAATAGATCGTCAATAAAACGTTGAGCTTCTGTTGTTTGTGGTAATTCTTCCAACTTTTCTCGTAAAGCCTCTCGAGTTTTGCAAGATTGTGCTTCAGCAATAATGTAATCTACAAAGATCTTCTCAGACATTCCAAGTAATTTCATCACGCTATCGGAAACCCAAGAACGTAGATCCATTTTGTGAAGTTCAATCAAAAAAAAAATTCTCTATAAAAGTAAATACAGATTTTGTTTTTTCTACCATTTTGTGGACCTTTTTTAGCATAATGGACATTTGATTTTATTGGTTGAATTTTGTGATGATCATTTTTGATACATCACATAATTATTAAATTTTGATTGGAACAAAATTGATCGTCATATAAATTTCCAAAATAGAAAGGTTAGTTTATTTTTTATAAATTTTTATATAAAAATTCTTGAATTAACATTAAATCGAAAATATAAAAATATCAAATATATTTATATTTTTTTATAATAATCATAAAGATTATAAAAAAAGTAGAAAATTAAAAAGGAACTTGCAACATTAAATTAAAAAATAAAATTATAAAGGCACTAGATATCATACATTTAAATCACTATCTAATAATATTTGTGATTAATGTATCAAATATTTAAATATTTAGATTAAGAAGAAGATATAATATTTGTATGTGATCATATATTTTATCATAAATGTTTTTTAGAATAAAATAATAATTCTATAAAAAAAATATTATCTTTAATATAAAAGTCTATATAAAAAGATTATAAAAAGATAATAATATTAATAAGATAATGAAATATTAGATAATAAAAATAAAGAAGTAGCAGCAATAATAGAAAAATATTGGTAGACTTTAAAAATATTTAAACTTGATAAATTATAAGTTATTAAATAAAATATATTATAATATATATAATTTTAATCTTAAAATTTTGACTCTTATCTAACTTTCATAAGAGTAAAGATCTCTGTATCTTTTTTATTCAAATATAAAAAAAGAAATAAATGATATATTAATACAAAAACTGCATATTGATAGATTAGTTTTTGATTTTTTTTTTATTATTTAAATCAATTAAAGTCAAATATTACATAATATAAAAAAGGTTGATATTTGATTTTATCATTATATAACATAATAAATATCTATTATACTACTTTTTTAATATTAGGTTATAATAAAATTTTGACTAATAAAATTGAAAAATGTTAGTCATATATGATTAGTATAGTAAATATCTCAATTTTATCACATAATATGACATATTAGTATTTACTTTATGACAATTAGCATCAATTCAATTATGAAGCAAGAAAAGTAAATATCTTAAATCAAACAGTATAAAATTATATAATCTTTTATTATATTTTAGATTAATAAAGCAATAAAATATCAATTTTTATTAAAATTTAATAGGTACTTTTTTAGTTTTATCATATATAACTAGCTAATTAAATCATAAAATTTTAATATTGTCATATTAAACTGATAATAAGATTTCTAAATAATATTATTACTTGATTTATTTAACATAAAAAATAATATATCATTTTTAATGATATCAAATAGTAAGATACAAGTTAATAAACTTACTTAGAATTAAAGTAAACTATATTATTCCTTTCAATTTATTAAATCTATTGATTCTTTAAGATATACAAATAATAATTATTTAATATAAAAATATTTTATTAAAAAATAAATAAATATAATAATTTCTAAATTATAAATCTTAATTATCTATCTTATTATCTTTAAATTTTACCTTAAATATTTTAAATTTATATATAAAAATTTCACATAATAATAAGTTAATTATTTTCATTTTTCCTATCAGATTTTAATTATTTTTCTACTTGTATTTCTGTTTTCTGTTTCTGTTTTTTATTTTTCTTTCTGTTTTTTATTTTTATTTTTCAGTTTCTTTTATATTTGTTCTTTTGTATTTTAAATATAACTAATTACAAGTATATGACTAATTATATTATTATTTACCTAATTAATGTATTATTATGATTATATAATTTAATACATTACCTATACTAATTATATCTATCTAATAAATATTTATCTTTTATTATGATATATCATATTATTTTACTTTATCTTAATCACTATATCTTTTTATTTATATTACTATTTTTAAATAAATAAAAATTTATTTTGTTCTGAATATTATTTATGTATTTTATTAAAAAAAAAAGTAAAATTTAATATTTTATTACTTCACCTTTAGCTACTATATAAGCTTAAATTCAATAATGTATACTTTTAACTATTTTTTAATATATTTAAGTAAAATTGAATGTTAAGCATTTTTTACCTTACACTTTAAATCTTTCAAATTTTTAGGTTGATTAGACAAATTTCATATCTATTTTAAAAATTTTTAATCAGATTTATATTAAGACTTTGTGTAAACTAATATAGCATAAAAATATTTAAGGCATTATGAATATTAGCAATAATCTTTGATCAATAAAACAGAGTATTATCCTCTTGTAAAATTTCTTGTTTACATTTATAAAGTGAAAAAATAGCATATTTTTGTAATAATTTATATATGTTTGTCCTTTTACAGATTCATAAAAAGAAATAAGTAATCCTATCCTATATTACAACTTTTCTATTTTCTATTTAATTATATCTTTGATTTTGTTTATAAGAATAAATCATATTTAAAATTAAAATTAATTCTAGTAGATAATATAAATTTTAATAAAAAAAATAATATTTATATAAATTTGATAATTTTGAAAAAAATCATTTCTTATAGAAGATAAATTTATTAAAAAGTTAAATTACTATGATTATATTGTTAAATGGAATAACTTTTGAACTAATGATCAATGTTTCGATGGAAATAGTATCATTAGAACCGTCTTGATGAGAGCTTTCCAACGAATATAAG